AAAATCCTCATTCCATTGGCAAATAATCTCATTTACCTGCTGAAATTAGGGTAAATGCACTTAATTTGAAAAATCTTTACTTGTTTCTAGATCGTTTTTCCAGTGTTATAAGTAAGGACTTGACCCTCTGAAGTATTCATAAGTTAAGCAAATAAATATGAATCAGATTATTAATCTTTGCTTTTGAGCTTTATGACCTGCAGGTCTAACAAACGTGACTGAATTGTAATATTACAAGCTACATGAGCAGGAACTTTGACTTCATCACTGAACTGCTTCAGCCTGCCTGAGAAAAAAAAAAGAAAAAAAAAAAAAAAACGTCGGTGGTTTTTTTGAGAGTTTCATGTTTTGCAACTCGTGCAGCAATGGCTTCAGAAAAGACGAATGTCTGAGCAAGTTGCTGATTCTCTTTCAGGTTTGCAGACGTCACAGATCCACAGCGCTCAACCGAATCACACAAACAATCAGGACCTCCCCCCCCAAATCAGAGATTCAAATAATTCTCAATAATCAAAATTTAAGTACTTAAATGGAACATTTTATAGCTAACTAGATTAAAAAATACAAATTATGACACTTTTTAATAGTCATATTTGCCAGAAATATTAAACATTTTGTATATTTTTGTGTAAATGCCTCAATAATGCCCATCCATCCATCCATCCATCCTTCTCCCGCTTATTTAATGTGGCCAGTGTCTATCTCCAGCAGTCTATGGTCGAGAGACGCCATGCGACCTGTCCAGGGTTTACCTTTAGACTAGGTGTAAAACTAACACATCATTTCAGAAAAAAAACACCAACAGTGAAACATGGCGGCGATCATGATGCCATCGTCTAGGCCTGCTTTGCTAAAACCCTGATTTCTGCCTTAAAGCAGAAGATCCAGTAGGTTGTGAGCCTAAGTTTAAGAGTACCTGGGTTATGAGGACAGACAGACCTTTCAGTGGTGAAATGTGAATTTTGGAGTGATCCAGTCAAAGTCTGCTCCTTAATTTGAATGAGATGCTAACCTTTACCAGACTGTTGATGCTGTGGAACTCTCTTATTCTTTGTAGTTAAAACAAATTTTCAAAAAAGTGAGGGAGTCCTTGTCAGCGGAATTAGCAGTTAGGGATTACGGGAGGCGATATATTTTCCTTTTTTTGTCTTTGTTTGGATACACTTTTTCCTCTACGTCCAACCTATTCTCATTATGAGTGCGTACGAAATCGTACAAAAAAGTTATGCACCGTAAATTCGTACGTTTTTGACGTTTTTTTCGTCGTATGCGCATGCGCATCTGACGCACCATTCACGAATATAGAATATAAATTACAATTAGCCCTAACCCTAACCCTAAGATATAAAACAGCAAGCA